TGTCGCTATGTTACGGTTTCCCCTCATAGTCAGGCTGCGCACGATCGTTGCGCCCTCCTCGTAGGAGACTCCACCACCCTCTTCCACGGTCCTGATTCCCTCGTTCCTCCCCGCCCCCTCCTCCATTGGACTCGTCAGTCCCTCGTCAATTATACCCCATTCCCGATTACTTCTGCTACAGCCTTGAGACCAACGACCTGGTAACGGAGACCACACGGGAAAATCAGCTGGCGAACAACCTGAGATCAACGCAACTTAGAAGGGAAGCATCTGCGAGGACAGCTGGAGCCCAACGACTTCAGCTACAGTCCTGCCACCACTTGCGAGGAGGAGGATCGCTTGCGAGAAGGAAAATCTTCTTCTCGCAAGTGATGGCACCTACAACCCTGGGGTCAACGATCGAGGCTGGACGCAGGTGTGAGAAGAGCCGGGGCCCACACGTCTTCAGCTACTGCCCTGGGATCAACACTCATGAACGGAAGCCATAGCACCCATGGAGAGCTGGAACCAAACGATGTCAATCGCAGCACTGGAGAGCTTGTGTGATGAGCTGGGGCAGACGACTTCAGCTAAATTTGGGGACCCAGCGAATCAGTGCACAGCCCGCCTGTGTGGGAGGGAGGTGATGGGACGCACAAAGACATACTAGTACTATGTGTCCTCCTCGGAGGCGCGCGTCCGACCCGAACGTATAGTATTACCATCTTGTAGTATGTCGTTTCCCGAGCGGGGCAACAAAAAACGCCCGCCACGGAGCTTACACTGCAAGATTCTCGGCGCGCGTCACCCCTGGAGGGGCGACGCACAAGTAGTATTAGTATGTCGGCGTGAAGCCGAGGTGACTCCTTTTCAGCTCCAGGCTCCAGTGTGGGGATAGCGAACGCGCAAGGGCTGGTGCAGACGACAGCAGCGCGGCGAATATGACTGGGGCGCCTCGGCCCGTTCACGGCTGGCCCCATGGCTACGTAGACCACGAGATAGCCCACGAGGCCCACGAAATAGTCCTCCTCACCCTTCCCCCCCACTTCTCCCCCTCCCCCCCCTCCCCCCCCTCCCCCTCCCCCTCCCCTCCTCCTCATGATCCTCCTCCTCCTCCTCCTCCTAATCCTACTCCTCTCCTCCTCCTCCTCCTACTCTCCCCCTGCTCCCCCTCCACCTCCTCCTCCTCCTCCTCCTCCTCCTCCTCCTCCTCCTCATCCTCATCTTCCTCCTCTTCTTTTTTCATACTAGTACAATCGCTGGTACTACTAGAACTAGTAACAGCATTAAAAGCGAGTAGTAGCCGTAGTTGTTGCATTGGTAGTATGATTATTATGACTAGCATTGTTTTAGTAGTGTCATTAGTGTTGGCTTTAGTATCAATCGTATTGCTAGTATTGCCAGTACTGCTACTGTTATAGTAGCATCCGTGTACGTAGTCTGATTGCTATTGTTATACAGAGTATACGACGTGTTCTTCTTCGTATCGGTATTACGATTGGTATGGATAGTAGTTTCTTCTTGTTATGATGAGTACTCGTATTTGTACGATGATTAGTGCTCGTCTCGTTCGTAGTAGTACGCGTACACTTCTTATTCGAACACGTAGTTTTACCATTATGGTTAGTAGGAGTCGTGAAGAGAGTCTCTTCGTATGCGTAGAAGTCTACGTATTCGTATTAGTAAGTTTCCCCACGCCAGTAGTAATACTAGTCGTCGTGAAAAGAGCACGAGTGTTACAAGTATTCGTAGCAGTCGTACTACAAGTCGAATTAATCGTCGTAGTAGCGTCATGTGTCTTATGTTGAGTGTTAGTACTCGTGTTCTTCATGGAACGATTATGGTAAGTGTGAAATATCATTAGTCACATCCGTACTGTTAGCACTAGGAGTACTAGTGATGGTGGATTTAATACTACTATGATAAGTATTACGAATCCTCCTCTAACTCCTCCTCCTCCGTTTCCCCTTCCTCCTCCTCCTCATGATCCTCCTCATCCTCTACCTCCTCCAAGGCCTCATCTTCATCCTCATCACCCTCCTCCACCTCATGATCATCAGCATCATCATCATCATCATCATCATCATCATCATCATCATCATCATCATCATCATCATCATCATCATCATAATCAGCATCATCATCATCATCAGCAGCATCATCATCATCATCATCCTCATCATCGTCATCATCATCATCATCATCGGCATCATCATCTCATCATCAGCTCAGCATCATCATCATCATCATCACATCATCATCAGCAGCATCATCATCATCATCATCATCGTCATCATCATCATCATCATCAATCATCATAATCATCATCCATCAGCATCACATCAGCATCATCACATCAGCATCAGCATCAGCATCAATCATCCTATCAGCCTCGCAGCAGCATCAGCATCATCGTCATCGTCATCGTCATCATCATTATCATCATCATCATCATCATCATCATCATCGTCATCATCAGCAGCAGCAGCACCATCATCACCATCATCATCATCAGCAGCAGCAGCATCAGCATCAGCAGCATCATCATCATCAGCAGCATCATCATCAGATCATCATCATCATCATCATCGTCACCGTCATCATCATCATCATCATCATCATCATCATCATCATCATCATCATCATCATCATCATCATCATCATCATCATCATCATCATCATCCAAGTCCTCCTCCTCCTCCTCCTCCTCCTCCTCCTCCTCTTCCTCTTCCTCCCTCCTCCTCCTCCCCCTCCGCCTCCGCCTCCTCCTCCTCATCCTCCTCCGCCTCCTGCTGCTGCTGCTCCTCTGCTCCTCTGCTCCTCTGCTCCTCTGCTCCTCTGCTCTTCTGCTCCTCTGCTCCTCCTCGAACTCCTCCTCCTCCTCCTCCTCCTCCTCCTCCCATCATCATCATCATCAACAGCATCATCAGCAGCATCAGCATCAGCATCAGCATCAGCATCAGCATCAGCATCGCTCAGCAGCAGCAGCATCAGCATCCACAATCAGCACTCATGCATCATCATCATCATCATCATCATCATCAGCATCATCATCATCATATCATCATCATCATCATCATCATCATCATCATCATCATCATCATCATCATCATCATCATCATCATCATCATCATCATCATCATCATTATCAGCATCAGCATCATTATCAGCATCATCATCATCATCATCAGCATCATCAGCAGCATTATCAGCATCACCATCATCATCAGCAGCAGCATCATAATCATCATAATCAGCATCACCATCAGCAGCAGCATCAACACATCCACCACCACCACCACCACCCTCATCATCATCATCAGCAGCAGCATCATCGTCATCGTCATCATCATCATCATCATCATCATCATCATCATCCTCATCAACGTCATCATCAGCATCATTATCATCATCATCAGCATCATCATCATCATCAGCAGCATCATCAGCAGCATCAGCATCAGCATCATCATCATCATCATCACCACCACCACCACCCTCATCATCATCATCATCATCATCATCATCCTCATCATCATCATCATCATCATCATCATCATCATCATCATCATCATCATCATCATCATCATCATCCGCCTCATCATCCTCCGCCTCCTGCTGCTGCTGCTCCTCTGCTCCTCTGCTCGTCTGCTCCTCTGCTCCTCTGCTCCTCTGCTCCTCTTCTCCTCTGCTCCTCTGCTCCTCTGCTCCTCTGCTCCCCCTCCCCCTCCTCGAACTCCTCCTCCTCCTCCTCCTCCTCCTCCTCCTCATCATCATCATCATCATTATCAACAGCATCATCAGCATCATCAGCATCAGCATCATCATCAGCATCAGCATCAGCAGCAGCAGCGGCATCAGCATCAGCATCAGCATCCATCAGCATCATCATCATCATCACATCATCATTCATCTCATCATCATCATCATCAGCATCAGCATCATCATCATCATCATCATCATCATCAGCATCATCATCATTATCAGCATCATCATCATCAGCATCATCAGCGTCATCATCATCATCATCAGCAGCAGCATCATAATCATCATTCTCTTCATCACCATCAGCAGCAGCATCAACACATCCACCACCACCACCACCATCATCATCAACGCCATCATCCTCATCATCATCATCATCAGCAGCAGCAGCATCATCGTCATCGTCATCATCATCATCCTCATCATCATCATCATCATCATCATCATCATCATCATCATCATCATCATCATCATCATCATCATCATCATCATCATCATCATCATCATCATCATCATCATCATCATCATCATCATCATCATCATCATCATCATCATCATCATCATCATCATCATCATCATCATCATCATCATCATCATCATCATCATCATCATCATCATCATCATCATCATCATCATCATCATCATCATCATCATCATCATCATCATCATCATCATTATCAGCATCATCGTCATTATCAGCATCATCATCAGCATCATCAGCAGCATCATCAGCATCATCATCATCAGCATCAGCATCAGCAGCAGCAGCATCATAATCATCATCAGCATCATCACCATCAGCAGCAGCATCAACACATCCACCACCACCACCACCATCATCATCAACGCCATCATCCTGATCATCATCATCATCATCATCAGCATCATCATCATGATCAGCAGCAGCAGCATCATCGTCATCGTCATCATCATCATCCTCATCAACATCATCATCAGCAGCATTCTCATCATCATCATCAGCAGCATCAGCATCATCATCATCATCATCATCAGCATCATCATCATCATCATCATCTGCCTCCTCATCATCATCAGCAGTATCAGTATCATCATCATCACCATCATCATCATCAGCATCATCATCTTCATCATCATCATCATCATCAGCAGCATCATCATCATCATCAGCAGCATCATCATCCTTGCCCTCCTCCTCCTTCCCGTCCTCCTCCTCCTCCTTCCCCCGCCCCAGGAATTGCAGCCCCCCCCGTTGCTCGGCCCCGGCGGGGCGGCACCGCACGCCGTTGGTGGTGAGCCCGAGCTCCAGCGGCGCCGGCGAAGCTGGGGAACAGGCGCCACGGAAGAGGAGAGAAGGAGGAGGAGGGGGAGGAGGAGGAGGGGGAGGAGGAGGAGGAGGAGGAGGAGGAGGAGGAGGAGGAGGAGGAGGAGGAGGAGGAGGAGGAGGAGGTGAAGGAGGAGGAGGAGGAGGACGAAGACGAGAACGAGAAGGAGGAGAAGGAATAAGAGGAGGAGGACGAGGATCAGGAGCAGGAGCAGGAGCAGGAGCAGGAGCGGGAGCAGGAGCAGGAGTAGGAGCAGGAGTCGAAGGAGGGGAGGAGGGGAAAAGGAGGAGAAGAGGAGGAGGAGGAGGAGGAGGAGGAGGAGTAGGAGGGAGGAGAAGACAACGAGGGGAGGAGGGGAAGAGGAGGAGGAGGAGGAGGAGGGAGGAGGGAGGAAGAGGGGAGCAGGGCCGGAGGGAGGGAGGGAAATGGAGGGAGGGAGAGGAGGAAGGGAGGAGAGGGGAGAGAGAGGGGAGGGATGAGAGGGGAGGGGATTGGCGGAGGGGTTCGAGGGAGGAGGAGGGAGGGAGGGAAGGGAAGGAGAAGAAAGGAAAGGCAGGGAGGAGGACGAGGAGGAAGAGGAGGAGGAGGAGGAGGAGGGAGAGAGAGTGGAGGAGAAGGTAGAAGGAAGGACGAGAAAGGATGAGGGAGGAGGAGGAGGGAGGAGGGAGGAAGGAGGGAGGAGGGAGGGAGGAGGAGGGAGGGAGGAGGGAGGGGGGGAGGAGGGAGGAGGGAGGAGGGAGGAGGGAGGAGGGACGAGGGACGAGGGAGGAGGGACGAGCGACGAGGGACGATTTGTTTACCTTCGCTTCAGGGGGATGATACGAGCCAGGTGAGCTGAATAGGCCAGCACCTGACCTGTGAGACTTTCCCACAGCGCTGCCGATGCGAATTCGCCTCCACCAAAACCGCCCCCAGAGAGAGAGGGATGGAAAGAGAGAGATATATAGAGAGAGAGAGAGGATCAGGAAGGTAAGGGGAGTAGAGTTGCTACCCAACCTAAGGTATGGCCTACCAGTTCTTCGACTGGCGCCACTCAAGAAACACATCCTGCTCTTGTTCCTCCCCACTCCCTGTCGACCCTATACCAGCATCAGCCGACCCCTACACGCCAACCTGTAGGTTTGGACTTTCTTGCACGGCGTTGCCATGGCAGGACAAGGTAAGGGGAGGAAACTGCCTGTGAAATTTCCCCTGGGTACCCACCTTGGCTGAAGCTGTAGCGGGAGGGTGAAGGGAGCTGTAGCGGGAGGGTGAAGGGTGAAGCTGTAACGATCATATTATCCTGCCCTCGCAAAGTGCCGTCGAGAAATGTTGAAGCATCCTCCGACCAATTACCTCCCCTAACTCCTCCCACCGCGAACCGCTTTTCTAAGTGGCGACCTGCGCAAACATGGGATGGGGGGAGGAGGGGTTTGTAGGGGAAGAAAAGAAGAGGCACGTTGAGCAATAATGGTACATAAGGCCGGGGAAAATGAATCCCGCGGGCGCCTCATTGTTCTGCTGTGGGTTCTACCACTGGAGGTCCTGGAACTGGTCACTCTGCTTTCCCTCCTACCCAAGGAATTGTGATTGCATTGCTCAACAAGCTAAATGTGTGGTGCAAAGCGGGTTCTACCGCATCACTAAACATTGCTTTCTGCCCTGCCTAAGGAAAACTGATGGTGGGGAACTCCCCCTACCGAGAGCGGTTTCCACCGCAGTCGTAGCCATTGATTGGACAAACAAGCCGTGCAAACACACTTTGCCACTGCGATACGCATTTCAACTAATGGAAACCATATACCACTTTGTTGGGACCAATCTTGCATTGCGGGAGACTTCCCTGACCGCAATGCATGTGTATTGATTGCTTCTGCAACTGGAATATTATACTGCAAGTGTTTACCAAATTCGCTTGGGTACCTGCTCAATCGGAAATTCAACGAGGGCTGCGCTTACGCTTGTTGGCCTTACCCGTGTCCTTCTTGTGCTCTGCATGCGTCTGCTTTGGCTTGGAGTCGTGCGCTTGCTGACCTTCCTGGTCACTGCGGCTCTCAGTTTCGGGATGTTCTTCCCTAAGAATTGCGACGTCGTCCTTCATACGGCAACAAACATCATGTTTCTCAGCCGGCTGCTGTCGAAGTGTTTGGATATGAAGTTAATAGTCTTTGCGCTTTTGGAGGAAGGTGGGAGGAGGGAGGAAGAAGGGGGAGGGGGGAGAGGAGGAGGAGGAGGAGGAGGAGAATGGAGAGAGGAGGAGGAGGAGGAGGAGGAGGAGGAGCAGATAGCTAGGAGCAGGGCAGGAGGAGGAGGAGGAGGAAGACGACGACGGACGACGACGTGTTGCAGGAGGAGGAAGGAGCGAGTGGGGGAGGGGGTAGGGTTAAGGAGGAGGAGGAGGGTGGAGGAGAGTAGAGGAGTGAGAGAAAGGAGGCGGAGGAGGAGGGAGGAGGAGGAGGAAAAAAAAGGGGAG